TCCTGATATGTCTGTCCCAAGGGTCTAGTTCAGGGTCAGGCCCACAACATTACTTATGTGCACAACATTAATTATGTGTTTCTGGAAGGGAAAAACCACATTAAATGACCAGCTTTCCCAGGTTTGCTGGGACTTTCCTGGTGTTTTAGCATTGAAAATCCTGTGTCCTGAGAAACTCCTCAGTCTTGGGCAAACTGAGACAACTGACCAGCCTGCCAGGAGGGAAGGGGGAAGGAAAGCAAGAAAGAGGAAGGAAGAAGTGACTTAAATTCTGTCCATGTAGGCGTGGGGCAGAGTCCTGTGTTCTGACCTGCTGGAGTCAGGGGCATCAGGCTTCCCGCTAAGGTAGGGGCAGCTGAGTAACAGGTGAGATGCTGGGGACCAAAGGAGCATTCAGTGAGCTCATCCTTATACAGGAGCAAATTAAGGATGGGTCAGACTTAATCCAGGTGAATTGAATGCTGAAAATAGAATTATTAGATCCATTCAGGGAGCATCTGTTGAGCACCTTCCTTTGGCAGTTTCTGTGCTAGACACTGAGGCTACAGAAGGAACAAGGACGAGCCTGCCCTCCAGGAGTCCAGCAGAAGCAGGACATGCTGAGGAAATGTCCCAGGGGCATCCTGTTTCATCTGGTTGGTAAAGCTCTGCACACACAGCCAAGGCACATAAATACATTGGGTAGATTGTCTGCCAGGATGCCATATACACTGCATTCCCTGGGAATCCCAAAGGACGGGACTTCACCATGCAGTCCCTTGTCTGCAAGGCCCATGGTGTAAGAGGGCTGTTGGTTGGTTTGCCTTTTAACAACATGTAGACCTTCTCAGAGGGCTTTTAAAAGAACATCAGGCCCCTGGCTTAATTTAGACTTGTTGTCACAGCCAGGCGGACATGAAACTGCCAGGAAGGGCCTGTGGGGAGCCAGGCACCAGGAGAAAGCCCAGGGAAGAGAAGGATGTGGGGTGCCTGCTGAGCTCAGGGCAGATGGAGCTAATGCCCCCAGATACCAGCCCTGCCTGCTCCTTCCGGGGCCCTCCAATGTGCACAGTCTGAGGGCCGGTGGCCAGGCAGCTGTCTCCTAGCACACAGACATGGCACAAACCAGAGCTGTGTGGCTGGTGCAAGGCCAGTGTCCTGCCCTTTTTATACTCTACTCCTGATTTCCATCCTCAGCAACAGTTCATGGCCCAATAAGGACTGATTTGGCCACTTTCTGTGATGGCCCACAGTACAGAGATAGTGCAAATGTTGAGTGGAGTGACTGTCTGTCTCTTGGTTGGTCTCCAGTCTATCCTTAGATTCAACTTCCATAGACCAAATACTGTGTCTATTTGGATATTAATAACTGTTGACTGATTTTCTTCCCTAAACTCCCTGAAAGGAAAGGAGCGACACATAGCAGCAATTCACCGGAGAGTTCCGCTTTATTAGGGAAAGGTGCTGGGTTATATAGGAGGGGGCATGAATTGATTGAGGTGTCACTTCTACGGGGCTGGTGGCTGTTGGCTAGGTGCTGGGATTGGGAGGGGGGCGAGAGGTGATTGGGCTTCAGGTGGCGCCGGCGGGAACTGAGGACCCTGAAGAGAAGCCGGAAGTTTGCCATCTTACTGGTGGGGACCCTTCATTCCCCCCTTTCTCCTCTATGGGTTTGTGGACGTTGCTTTCTCTCTGGCTGCTTCCTGCTGAACAGGGGCGGAGAAGGGAGTGAGGGCTTGAGGATTGGGAGGAAAGGGTTGATAGGACTCCCC